CGGGCGGGCGCCGGCGCAAGGCCTGAGCGGGGGGACCGGCGCTGCAGAGCCTTGGGATTGGAGGATTGAGCCTTCAGGGCTGCCGGCTTTGCTTTGTAGAAGCTAGAATCTTCCACCTTATTTTGTCACGGATATAAACAGCAGCTCCGTAAGGTACGTCACGTGCAGATGTGACCTACCAGACGCTTCGGTCGGGTGTGAATCAGGAGTAAAACCAGTCAAATCAGTGGAGTGACAGCAGGTCACACTGGAATCAGACACGTTATGGTTTCTGAAAATGTTGTTGAATTATTTGGTAAGGATACACTTTTTTAATATTTGCTGTAACCAAAATCCCTCTGAAAATGTTGCTACTTCAGATAAGCAAAATAGTTTAAAAATATTTTTTAATTCCTGTATTATCTTCTAGCTATTGCCAATTTAATGAAGTTTTGATAGGTGATTTAGGTAAGGCCATTATAGAAGAAGTGGCTGTATTGTTCAAATAATTAGTCTCTATCCTTGGAATCTTATAAAAAATCGTTGCCCTAAGTAACAGCTGTTAACGCTTGTTGAGTATCTTTAGTATGCACAATACATAGCGCTTTGCAAATCATTATAAACATTATATTGTTTCACAAACAATGCCATTTACGTCAGGGAGAAGCCAAGAGACACTCAGAGCAGACTGCTGAGAAGACAGGAAATAATGAGCTCGTCCTCTGACCCCATTTTGATGACTCTTTGACCCAAAAAGCGGGTAGTGCTTGATAGGTGGGTAAGGCTGGTAATCCTGGGCCTCTAAGGAGGTTACAAATTGCGTGCAGTAAACCTTAGAATCTTCGGTGTTCACATCAGGCTCAGAAAACAGAAAACTATCATCTATGGTTTCAATATTTATTGAAATACAGCTGACATCTTTTAGAAAGGAGGGTTCCTTGCTGTCAGCTGCAGTATTCTGAGAGTATAGAATGTAGTACAGAAAGTGCATGTCTGGTCTTTGTGTCGAAGCTAAATTACCCTGGTCTTTCTCCCTGCAGTTCTTCAGGGGAAGTGGGGAAGCTTCTGGGTTTCACCATTGACCTTACCCTCTCTTTCTGAGAAAAAACGTTGTGGACTAACTAGTAAGACTATGAAATGATGTGGTCTTCATTTGTGTAGTTATAGCAGCTTTACAGAACCAAATCTGATCTTACTGTCAATAGCCAGCTGCAAACCTTCCTTACCTTTTGTAGAGTTAGCATTAAGTCCCTTGGCCTGATTCTGCCAGAGCGCTCCAGGCAGTTTTAGATAACTGTTCTCACAATATCATTTGTCAGACCAAGGTTTTGACTTACACAAGATCAGAAAGGAGAACCGTCATCACCTGATTGCCAAGTCATGGTTTCAGTGGAAGAGCACAGGGAAAGAAATCTGCTACTAAATTTTTCAAACGTTAAATTATTTTAACTAATTTCACCCTCAGTTTCATTATCAATTTACTGAAGTTCATTTATAAACAGAAGAAAAACAAGGCCTACCCACTGATAAAAATGTTTTATGAAATACTTCGTAGTAAATAATGGAATAAATGGGAAAGAAGCCTGGATTCTGTAAATGTGTAACACTGACTGTGAAAATTGCCAGTAAGTCTTTATATCCGGAGTCTCTAAACTGATAGAGGTTTCGTTGTTGCCTGTTACGTAGGACCAAGTCCCGAAGAAGTTAACACATATGACACTAATCCTGCAATGCGCACATCTGAGGCCTAAACAATACAGAATATTTTTCTGGATTTTTTTTCCACCTATGTTTAGAGAGCTAGATTTGCATTTCACATTGCTGCCTATTTTAAGTCTCTGTTTCTGGAGGTTTACTAGGTTTTTTGTATTTTAGAAGTCTTACGTCTGTCTGCTTAGTTCCTTCTGAACTTCCGGCCTCTTTAAGATGTTTCAAATTTGATGCCTAAAAATTGAGACGCTAATAATTTCTGATGCTTTGATAGCAATACAGTGCGTTGTATTGTTAAATGTATCTTAATTTGTGTATTTCTTAGTGCAGTTAATAACTTTGCTTACAGTTAGCTGGAGTGGCCTGCAGCTGCTCCGCTGAATTCTGTGGGTGTTTTTTAGCTTTGACACCAGTGTGAGCCTGGCTGTGCTCTAACCTAGAGGCTATGCAGCTGGTTTTTACCATACTTAGCTGGCTATGATAGCATCGTATTAGTCAGAACAATGAGGAGGCAGAGGCAAAGCTAAAATTGAAGCTTTAAGGATCTGACTCATTCAGTTTCTGGCACAAGGAGGTGCAAATTGTACTTCCTGAGTTTGCAGCACAACCAGAAAACCTCAATTACAGCATACCCTAAGTGCGCTATGCTATGAAAAGGCCTGCTCCCTGCCTCAGCGCATACCCATCTAACTAGCATGTTGTTGCTTCTGATTGTTAATTTAATGTTGGTAGCGGCTTCTTGTAGGATGTTAGCTGAATGAAGGCTTTGTGGTGTTGCAATTCTCCTTACCGGTTTTGCAGTCTTCGCTTACTGCCACCAGAGAGGACAGCTTGTAGTAACAGTACCCTGGTAGTCTTCAGCTGGACAATAACTTGACAGACGTAGGGCCCCCATCCTCTCTGCCCTTACTTTTTGCTGTTGATAGGTGAGATACTAGTAATTGCAGTACCACTCATGATGGTAATAGGCAGCATATTGCCTAGTGGGTTTTTTTTCTCAGAAATAGCAATGAACCTGCTTCTCAGATGTGTTCCGTCGGTTCCATCAACCAGAATAATTTTATGACCCCAATTCCATACAGTTATATCCAAGAAAACTCAAAGCTGGCAAGCATGCTGGCATCTTGCTGAAAGGATGTTGCTAGCTCCTTTCAGGTCACTAGCCCTGTCAGAGAAATATTAACAAAATGTAGTGCATTCTAGTAATGTAAGTCAGATGCAGCATAAACTGTGTGTGGAGATAGCCACAAGGTATGCTCAGCATGAGGAATGAGCAAAAGGAAATTCTGTCTGCAAATCTGTGGTGGCTAGAGCAAAGGAGGAGCTTTTGAGGGCCAGTCAGAGAAGATGGTAGACATGTTTTACCCAGTGCCCTTGTCACTACACAAAATATTCTGGTGCAGATACCCCTTCAGCTTGCCAAATGCTGTTTTCTGCACAGTGTACCAGCTTGCAGCTGGTAGTGGACATGAACAAAGCAAGGCATGCTCCAGCTAACTTTTCAGGACTTTCATAGCTGTCTGCTTTGGGGGAAAGGCTGTTGTCATTCTAAGGCTTGGGAGCAAAGTTTTGATCAAAAATAATGGAGGTCTTGTGGTTGTTTCAGCCACATTTTACAGGCTTCTTATGTTTTTCATCTACAGTTAAAATTCACTGTGTACATTTGAGGTTCTTGAAAGTGATGAAGAGAGTCCCAGGAAGGAATTTTCATTAAAGGTGAGTTAATTTTTCAGTGATAGTGATACTGTTATTTATATGTATTTATTTCTGTGGCGCTTAGAAGGTGCTCTCTTAAACCACCCTGCACAAATGGAAGGTCATAGTACTCCATAAAAACAGCAATGATCCAATCTCAGATGCGGAATTGAGTAATAAGCAGTGAGCATGGGTAATGCTGATGTAGAAGGAGGTTTGCTCAATCACACCTTTCATCTTGCTCATCTGTACTTACCTTACTGAGTGCCATGACCTTGTAAGAATCACTCAACCTATTTCCCATGGGCTACTCCTTTCCCTATTCCTTCTCATATTACTTTTAATATTCGATATTTAAGAGGATTTATTTCTAAACTATTTTTATGCATTTCTTAGAAAATATTGAAACAGCTTTGAAGGCTTGTCTTTGAGCTGTTGAAGCTGGCTGAAGGGACAGGTGAGGTGAACTATATGCAATTAAATAGTTTATATCATTCGTGCCATAAGAAAAATACCAAAAGCTCTTTTTTTTCTATTCTACCTGGGTAGAAGAGGGATTTTTATAAAATTTTCAGAGAGGTATCGTAGAAAACATATTGGGAACCCAAAGAATATTGACAGAATGATAGAATGTACTCCCCAAATAGCAAAAAAAAAAAGATTGAACAATGAGTGTTTATGTTCAGTTTTCTGTGAAAGATAATCAGAGCAGCTCAACTGTGTATAATGTGCCATAGACTATGAACAGGTATTCTCCTTAACACAACTAATTAATTAGGATAATTACATTTGAAGTAAGAGGATCTGAGTTTTGTTACTTTTCCTGTTTTTATAAAATTTCAGACAACCACAGTACATTTATGATAGCTGTGAGGTTACTGTATTTATTGCAGTATTTGTATCTTGCTATTACTGTTTTAGTTGAGTCTGTGGTGGCATAAAACATTGTAAATACCTAGAGAAAGATTTCACATTCTAAATACATAAAGACAACCTAGACATTTTGGTTTTTAAAGTAACTTCTTTACTTTAGCGTCTTTTTTTTTTTTTTTTCTTCTTTTACAGTGAGCAACACAGAGAAGGAACAGAAGCATGAACTACTCCGGTTTCAACAGAGACAAAATACAAGGTAGGTTAACTTTTCTGAATGTACAGTCAAATTACATCATATTCCTTTAATGATCAGGTGTTGATAGGCATGAGTGTACTGTTGAAATGGATATTATTTCTTTTTTTAAATTCATGATTTCCAAATAAAAGCCTGGATACTGTCTGCAAGAAACTCTTAATAATAAAGGGATGAATTTAAGACTACAGTTTGTGTGGCACTGAAAGAGTAAAACTATAGCCAGCAGCCTAAACTTCAGAAGAATGGGAATACACCAGATTACTCTTCTCAGTAATAAAAAACCCCTATTTCTGGAAAATGCACTTTTATATTTAAACTCTGCAGGATATATTTAAAATAGTACTCTTGATATTCTTCAGTGAGTCTGCTCCCTAAGATTTGATGACATATATGTCTTAAAATACTGCCTTAGTAGGTTCAAACTTACAAACTTTCCTACTTCTGAATTATTTTTAGTTTGTCATTCTCATAATTTAAGTTCACTGTATTCCTGTACTCTTTTTGTATTGTGAAACTTCTCCAAATGACATTCCTAAATTTCAGAATAGATTATTGGTACAAAACCAAAATACTTCTGAATGTGTCCCATCTTCTTAACTTTTTACCTATAGTTAACAACATTCTTTCTCATGAGTCTGAATAAAACTGAGACACAAACTAGAAAGAATTCAGCTTCCATTCCCACACTTCCATCTTGATCCTGTCCTGTCCCATTGAAATCAGTAGTACCCTTTTGCTTCAGTGGAAGAGCGCCCATTATTTTAGCAGGAATTATACATAATTTTATGGCATCATGTACTTTGGTCTCTGGTAGTTATTTACATCTAAGGACAGTAAAGAAATCAGAAAGTCTCCTTCCAGGCATCCACATTTCCTTTGTTCTTAGTTATGATGAGGATCATTGTGGTCCTAGGCATGAGGAAATGAAAAAACAGAGGTCTTTAGTTTAGATTATAAATAATAGAACATTGTGGGTACATGTATAATAGTTCTGAGAGGAAAGATGTCATCACAATATAAGTAAATAAGGAACTTTTGCACTGTAGAGAGATGATTGTGGTTGTAGTAGTCCTGTATTGCAACAAGACATTGTTCCTGCTAATTTGTTGTTGCCGTATCACATAGGTGGCAGAGAAACCTACAGATGCATTGCAAATGTGGATAGTTTTTCAGAATAGAATTAGATTCAGTCAGCCTTATGGCATTACAACAAGTTTAGAAATACCTTATCTGACCATCAGTGTGACCTGTTCACAAGTGATGCCTTCCTAGCATCTCACATTGTAATTCACATTTTTTCTTGTTTGAAATCTCTCCCATATTAGGATTAAAATTAGAATTAGGCCAGATTCAGAGCTGTTCATATGGTGCTATTTGGGATGAAATTCAATTTCCTAAACAGAGGCTTCCAGTGCATTTTAAAACACCTTGAGTTGCCTAAGACATTCATATGGGGTTGTCAGATATGATGGGGCTGGCAGAATAAGGAGACCCTTATTCTTCTGGAGTGCAAACTGGTTGAAAGGTGGGATACTCTATAGCTACCTGTTTTTAGGTAGGTGAAATCTCCGCCATACTGTCAGCAGGCAGATGGTGTAGAGTCAGTACTGTCACAGCTATTGCCACTGTTGAAAGGAGAGCTCCTTTTCATGTCACATAGCAGCATAACCGACTGCAGGAAGAACCACGTAGTCTCCTTAGGGACACACTTTGCCATGATACTGGCTAAGCAGTTAGTGGATGCTAGGTCCTGAATGTCCGAATGGTCTGCCCTTCTTAGGGTGGAGTTTCCTTCTGCTGGGAGTGCGTTCTTTTTGATTTGCAGTACCAGACCACTTCAGCAGCTAAATATGTAAGTATTAGAAATCCTTTTATTTCCAGAGTGACCAAACATCGCTTTCAGATTTTCAGTTACTCAGATTATGAAAAATTTGCAAACACGTTTAGTCAAAATCAGTATGGAGTTTTGAAAGTCAATAGATGTAGCAATTATAAAAGATAGTATAAAACAGGTTAGAGTGGTAATCTGATTTTAATTTCCTTTAAATCTTTCCTAATTAATTTAAAGTACCTGTGGTGCTTTTAAAATGAAGCTTTAGCTTCACGTTTAAACATTGCTGATACACAAACAGGTTTCATTTCCTATCAAATTCAGTGTTAACATTTTTTAAGCTTTTGCTATACTGGAAAATCTGCAAGATGAAGACTACTATTCTACACCAGGGAACTACTTCAAGTATGGCAGAGGGCTACAGAAAATTTCCTGGAATAGAAATACTCCTAGAAAAAAAATCCTAGAATATCCTAGAAAGGTATCCATGTGGCATTGAGTGATATGCAGTCTAGACCTTACAAGATGTCCTGGAATTGTTGTGGTGAAGCCCATGAAATGTTAGAGAAACTGCTAAATTAGGGTAGTATGTCTCTCGGTGTCTGCCAGGATGATCCCAATGCTGCTCTTGGTTATTCTGGTAGTTGAATAGTCTACCAAATGAGGACAGTTGAAAGGTGGCTTAAAACTTCAGCATCTCAGAAATCCTGTTTCTTCAGCCAGACAAGTAAAACCTGTGGGTCTTTGTTTCAGTATTTCTTATCCACACATAATTACTATTAAGCTAATACAGTCACATTAGTGTAAAGCCAGTCCAATCAAAAGAAGAGCAATAGACAGTGATTTCCATCCCAGTGCTTCAACTCTCAAGTTTCCAGTGAAAATCCCAGGGAAGGTCTGATATGGTGCGTCAAAGAAGGCTTTGCCATCCCAGACCGTGCACTGAATCTTGGATTTTTTAAACAAACAAACAAAAAAAAAATCACTTTTGCAAAGAGCGACATATGTATGATAGGTGAAAATACTCTTATGAATTTCTAACCACGCAGCTAGTATAAGGATATGTAGCATCTGAAAGTTTTGCTGCAATACGGTAATGCTGAGTGTCTGTATTGAATCAGTTTGTATTGTTCACAAGGATTGATTGTGGTAAGACACACTGATACTGATCATTCCCTGTTCGAGATCCTTCTGATATTGCAGACTTCCTCCTAATAGCCATCTTACATCTAAGCAGAGAAGTGAGGTTCCTGTTAAATGCCAACTAGGAACACTGCAGACAGCACAGAGCTGCTGCCCACACTGGGCGTGAAGCCATGCTTGAATGTGCTGTGGGTAAAGACTTCATGAACAGGCCCCATGACTCCATTACAAGAGCTGTGAAAATTAGTAAGTTGAAATTTTACAATATGCCTGCATACTGATCTAAATCAGCATAGAGATCTAAACTGCAGATAAGACCCCTAAGCCAGTGTTTCCTTTTGCCCATACATAGGAAATGACCAACTGATAGACAAATGAGTAAGCAAAGCGTTAGTTATTTATGCACATATGAAGTTGACTTTCCAGGGCCCCCGACAACCACCGGAGACAGTGATTTAATTTTACTATGTCAATTCTGCATATTCTAGCAAAAACAATAGCATTTTTCTGCTTATTTAGTGGATACTTTCAATGAGTTCATGCTTCTACACAAATGGAAGACAGAGTGCCTACTCTCTGTGTGTGTGTGTGTGTGTGTGTGTGTGTGTGTGTGTGTGTGTATGAATATGTATATTTATGGCTGAAGTAGTTAAATGCTCCACTTGGTAAACAGATTATAGTAGGAGACCAGAAGGCCAATTTGTGACGATGCAGTGCATTTTAAAAATAGCTCCAGCCGTTAGTATTGACACTGTTGAACTGAAGCTGTATGACTGCACAGAGCCCCAGTAAAAACAGAAGCTGGCCTGTCTGGAGTAGTTTGGAGCTTTGGAGCCATAACTCTGAAGTGATGCATTAGTGTCAACAGGTTGACAGGAAGAGGTGACTCTGCCTCCTGTGAGGGAAGCTGTAGTCACTGGCCGCTGCTTTCCTTTTCGCTTAAACAAAAGAGAGAATGTTAACTGTTTCTCTTTTTGTGAAAAGCAAGTACACATGCAACGTCTGTCCCTGATTTATTCAACAAAATAAACTTCCTATACTCCGTGTTTTTCCCAAAGCTTTTTGCAGCATGTGTAGATAATTTTAAAGCACGTTTATCTGTTTGCCATGTGCTCAAAGGCCACATGTATATATGGAGAGTGTATGTCACTTTCTTGAACCATGCAGACTCGGTAAGGAGATGCTGACAGTGCCCCATCCATATACTGTCTGTATTCAGAAGTATTCTTGAAGAGGTTAACTGTAGGTGAATTATGTAAAAGCTAGCTATACAGTTTTGTCAAGTCAGAAACTATACATAATACCTATATTTATGGCTTACTGTTACCTAATGACCAACCACAGGCTGGTCGTAGGTGTAATAAAAATTAGGCCACTGTGTTCTCAGAAGCAGCCATGTTAGCCTGGGAAGCTGCTTGTCTATAGTAAGCTTATGGCTAACAATTGAGCGACAACTAGCCATGAGCAAAATGAAAGCTTGTATCAAAGTTATTATATGACTTTTGAAAACAGGACTTACACTCTGAAATTACCTAACTGCTTTGGAAATGCTTAAACTGTAGTATTTGTGTACATACGTAGTTTCTTAACTGAGGTCACAGAGAAGAAACTGAGACTCCTCAGGTCATTTATAGTACCCTCCTTGCCTCTGAAATATCTTTTTTTGAGTGCTTGTCTCTGTTCTCAAGTATTAAATTCAGACTTCTCAGCAACGTGCACTTTGGTTAAATGCAGGGAGCATCTATTAAAGAAAGATGTCTGAAAATCAAACACAAAATAAATTGCAAGTTGTCTCTAGGAAACCTAGCATTTAAGATTTAAAAGATTCCGCATTTAAATACAATTAAGAAATTATTAGAGGTTGGGGAGACAATGAAATGTCAGAAATACAAGACCCTGAGACAGCTAAACTTCCATGGAGGACCAGTGCTTTTAAGAGAATAGTTTCAAAGACTTTGTGCACATACCATATTTTTATATATATATGTGGGTTTGGGTTTTTTTAAGTTGGTAAGTAAAGCA